TGTGGGTGTGTGTGTGTGTGTGTTTGTTTGTTTTGGGGGGAACCCAGCAAGGTTTTCTGTCTGAAGATTGAAAGCTCCACATATAGAGCTGCAGCCCAACTAAGGATTTTTATATTCAGACAACTGAAGCATTACTGATTTGGAAATGTAATTTTTCTTACAGTATACAGGTGAATAGCTCATGCCTAATTACAGGTTGAGACAATTTGAAATAGCACAAGTTTAAAATCTTAATGCAGAAAATCAGACCGTCAGAATTTCCAATGAAGCATTAATTCTGAAGCAGACAGGCAGCATCGTTAACACAAAAACAAACGATAGTACAGATGATTTAATTAGATTACTTCACTCCTATGAATTCTTCCAAACATGCTCTTTAAGAAAGCCAGAAATAGAATTTAACTTCCATCTTTTCTGATATTTTGGCCTATAGCAGTCAGTCATGCTCTCAAAGCGTGTTCTCACAGAAGCAGCTGTGTATATACACAACAAATCACATTCGGACATTTCGATCCAAGAGTGGGTAAGGACAAGCAGAGGTGAGCAGCAGGCTGTCCCTCAACACTAACACCAATGGTTACCATAGCAACGAGAGGAATCACAGGAAGAGGCTGGTATTGATCTTTCCATCCCGTGTTCTTGCCATTTCTTCCGAGTGGTCTTACACAATGCTGCCACAACCAACACCATCGCACATACCCAGGTTTTGAAGTCGACGGGAGATAATAGCGATGAAAAGGCAATAGGGAATAATTACTGCTGCAGTTAGTCTGAGTAGACAAAGAACAGGCAGGAGAATTTTCATCTTAACAGCAAGCTACGCAAGGGAAAGGGGTGTGTCAGTACGTACAGGCATGCTTCACGATGCCTTCCACTTACATCTCAAGTTTTCTATGCATTCTCCTGCAGGGCATCATCTGCCTGTTCTCAGAATTTGTAACAAGAGCCTCACCGATGCCTAGGTCAGGTATTGCAAAGAGCAGGATATAGCAAAGGATGTTTTGTGCTTAGTTGAAAGCCTGCTACATCGTGCCAGCAGAATGGCACAGAGCCAAAAGGACAAGAAAGAGAGACTACTTATAAATAGTAAAGAGATTTTTCATTTTAACAATGGCATTGCCTCAGAGTCTCTCAAAATACACTACAGCACAACTAAGTTCTATAAACATGGGATAATACTTTACATGAGAATAGAAGAAGTTTCCATAAAGGCTAGTATTGTTTCCAATAACAACACATAGCTCAAAATCGCATTTAGTTCGCAAATTACAGGATGGTATTTTGTTGATACTACCATAAGGCTTGAAGGAAAAAATATATTTTGAAGGTTTCACCTTCATGATTAACATTTCTTCCTAGGATATGCAAAATGGGGGGAAAAAAACCTATTTAAAATGTTAGACTGAATTAAGAAAGCATTTGAAGACCATTCCCAACTATATCTATAAACACTGAAGAATGACTGGAATAGTTAGCAGAATGTGGCCCTAGCTAAGAAGAAGAAAGCTGCTTATGTCAGAAAGATAAAACATTGTTTTTATAAACGAGTAGATCACTTCTATATGCACCCTACATTGTCCAGTTTTATATCAGCATAATAACACTTCTGTAAGCCACTATATTTGCAATAAAGCTGAAGTAATAAGGTAGTAAGATGGGAAGTACCCAATATCTCCAGAAACTTTGTAATTCACAAAGTGATTAGCCCGTCAAAAAAAAAAAAAAAAGTAACTAGCACAGCCTTCAGAAAATGCATCAAAGTTTTCCAAGGCAAATACAAAAGACAAATTAAAAGTGTCTATATTAGTACAGATATTCTTCGCAAAATTCTAACATTTATACTTAATAAAGATCCTGAAAAAAACATAAACAATACCTACCAATTGTGTACATCAACATAACAATTCCATTGTAATCCAAACAAATTATAACAGTATGTGATATTTAAGGGCTCTGGGAACCCTGTTAATAACAAGTCTCCCATCATAACTTAAAGAGGCAAATAGCCACGGGTCTGCTGAGGACCATTCAACTGCATATACGCTATCTTCATGTTCTTCATAGGTAGCTATTACACTGTCCTGAAGGGGCTCTTTAATCCTAAAATTGAAGAAGAAAATGAAAAAGAAAAAAAAAGAAAATAGTAAGGATCTGTGCACACACTTGACTTAAAAAGCAATATTAAGTGTCACTAACATCTAGATACGCAACCTCCCATTTAAAGTATAAGAATGCAGTAGTAGGCTCTGAGGAAATATTTTATACCAGATGTCTGCATGTACCTATGTTTTAGGTAACGCAGCAGAGTCACATCAATGTTAAAGACCCAATTTACAGGGACAAAGTACCTGTTATTCTCAACTCCAGTGCATTTCCAAGTCTCTCAGAACTTACACTAAGCATCTCTCTCTAAAGCAAATTAAACTACAGGGTATGATCTAAAGGCACTTAAAAGACGCATTTTTATCAACATTTTTTCCTCTCCCCACGCTCCCCCCCCTTTCTCTCCCCCTTTGTTGTTAATCGAATTCTTAAAATAATACATAATCTTATTAGAGACGTATCGGTAGGCAAGAAGTTGCAGTCCTTAACATCACAGTCTCTCTGTGCTGCCATCCTGGACCCATTCTCTCCAGAGCAGTGGAAGGGAGATGGAGATACCCCTCTAAACACTTTCATTTTTATCTCCCATTCCTAGACTTAGACCAACACCAGATTCTCATTTATAATTGTATACCTCACCTCTCACTGCAACACCCCAGGCTCCTGGTCACCTACATCACGAGGGACAGACAGATTCTCTTTTGCATTGCAAATATTTAAGAACAGATTCAGGCTATTCTCTGAAGTCCAAACCACCCAAGAGTCACCAACTGTGCTCTGCTAGCTGAGAACAGCGGTTCTTCCCTCCACTCAGAGCCAAACCCTCCTCTCACAGCAACACCACAGCACATTATTCTGTAGCTACAGGGTAGGTGAGTTCTCAGAGGATGACCTTAGAGCTCCTCCACCCACAGACGATCACCTCTGTCTGACAGGAACCAGTCAGCCTTTCAGAAGCATCCCCCTGCCTCCCAGAGACAGCCTTGTATTACAGCTGCAACCCTCCTAACAGAAAGCAAAGCCAAAGAGCCTTGTGAATGTCACTCAATCATTTAAACAGATGCTGCTACTACCGAAATAAGTGTTGTTATTGGCCATCTCTGCCCTTTACCGCTGCCCTCTGAAAGCACGTGTCTCTCTATGGTACCACATCTGCATTGCTCGCAGGGTACCGCTGCTCCACCTGGCCAGCCTAACCAGCTGTGAATCTAACATCACAATTAAAACTCAACTGAATTAATGAATAAGCCAAAAGCAGCGTTAAACTACAGAATAGCTTCAGATACTTAGTTTCACTGACTTTCATCATTTGCTTATGCTACATTTAAGGGCAACTAACAAAAAAAGGTCATAGCACAAACAAGACGCAGCCCCGGGTTAATTGCAAAGAGCAGTCTGGTTTTGCAGTTCTCCCGAATACGTACTTTGATACAAACCATCTACCAGCAGAGCGCTAATAAACACACACAGACACTTCATCTCCTGCAATGTGTTTTTCTAACTTCCTGTTAACTGACATGCCTGGTTAAGTGAAAGTTGGTCATGTCCCCAGACAGCAATGTGCTTCACGCGGTGCTCACCCACTTACCCACAACTCCATTATTCTGAAGGTTTCAGATGTCTCTCCGGATAAGCAGGGGAGTAACGCATGGTGCACATGGCTGTCAGGGGACACGACCGACTTTCAGTTAACCAGGAGTCTCAGTTAACCAAAGGTTGGATAAACAAGGACAAATAAGATTCTAGATTATACTATTTTCTGTATGCTCAGAGTTGTTTCAGTGTTTCATTTAAATAACACAGTTCATCTAATTTAATTTACAGAAGTCACAGGGGAGTGAGTGTTCAGGAAAGAAGCCTGTAGATGAACTTCTGTTTGGCATTTCCATTTATAACTACAATTTTTAACCGTCTTTTATTATTGTTTATACCCTGCATTTCTTCTTGGGTATGAAAGCAATTTTGTGCCTTCCCAGAAAAAGTATGCTATTCCATGTGGTTCTTCAGGCCACGTGAGTTCAGTTTTCAGTGGGGTTTTTTTGTCTTTTGTTTTAAAAAGCATAGATCTATGATATTGTGTATAGATTACTTGTGCACAAGAATGGCATAGCCTTGAAATAGTTATTGAGAATCTGAGAAAATCCTTGTGGAAGTGATCATTTGGTGTAAAAGAGCTAAATGTTATACAAGATAATCAGGATGGAAAAAAACACCAGAATGACATGTGTCTCAGGAACAATACTGAAGATCCAAGAGAAACTGTCCACAAGTACCCTTTATAAACACTACAAATGAAAACAGGTTAGCCTTTAAATTATGAAATGGGTAATGAGCCCAGAAGGATTCTGCTAGAGGAATAAAAAGCAGAATTTATTTCATGTATGTGAAAGACTGTTCAAAATAATAAAGAACAGAAGCAGCAAGACTGGTTGTGGTGGATTTTCTTCCTCACAACAGGAATCTCTGAGACACACCACCGTATCCCACGCTAAAAGAATTCTAAGAAAATACCTCAGATTTGTCTGCATTTTGTATATGTGCGATTTTTTGGGTAATCCAAGAATAGGCTGAGGACACTATTTTTGTATCTACATGAATCTAGGATCTGTAGAATTGTTCAGTTTCAGAGTCCCACATCAAACTATTTAGTCTCAATTAAATTTTACAAAACTGTCAGGCATTTTTATTTATTAAAGAATCAGATCAGACTCTCCTAACTCCCAGATATGAAATACAATTTGGTTAATGCAAGAAGTTACAGACTTAAGAGCTACGACACTGATGTTTACTTAAGAAAGGTAACAAATACATATTAAATACAAACACACACACACACACATATATATAGATATATACACCTCAACAGAGTCTACAAAAAAAGATTATTTTGGTCACACCACAAAACAACTTATATTTATCTTAAGATGTTTTTGTCTATTTAGATATTTTAATTATTGTTCTGTTTTTATCAGTTGCTACAATACTAGGTAATTTCAGAACCTAATATATAGCACTGATGAGTGTATTTGTTCTAATACTCTATTCATAATGTGGCAATGATTAAAAGAATATTATTATACTTTCATGTGCATTATTCTCATCTCAGAAACTTTCCATTCCATAGCTACCAACTCCTGATGACAAGGTTATTTGCCTTCTTAGGTTAGATGCATAGCATCGGACACAGAAGAGGAGAGCATTCGAAGGGGACTGACACTGGGACAGTCAGCAGATCTTTGGCAGGTTTTAGAACAGGGAGGATAGTTCAAGACCTTAAATTTCTTCCCAGTTAGAGAAGTTCAGAAACAGCAAGAGTACCTGTACAGTGGTGGATATGAAGTAAACTTTTTTGTATGCTACTTTAATATACATATATATAATTCAGGTTGTTGCCAAAACACAGAGATCCCTGTTTTTACATCAAAGCTGCAGGTTATTGGTGTAAAAATATAGTTGCTATGCTACAGCTAGCTTTGTGTACCACAGGTGTAGGTGCTTAGCCTATTGATCCCTTGACAGAGCAGTCTAACTAGAATTATATTTGATAAGCACACTTGGTAATCACTTGTTATGCCTGGCAAGCTTCGTAAGCTATTTTCTTCCTTGTCCTAAATCTCCCTGCCCCTTAAAAAGTTCCTTTAGTTTCTCATTTTCCTGTACTATTTTCAAGACTTTTTCTGGCCAAACTAAAATACCTTTCTCTCTCCCAATATAGGTACTTGCATTGCATCAACTGACAAGGCATCAAACTCTTATGTCATCAAGAACTCATAGTAAGAAAGGTGTAATCTCTACCTACATCCCGCATAAATTTAAGACCTGTGCCACACTGAGCTGAAACCGGACTGCTTTCTCGTTTGTCTTATTCATATAGCATGACCCGTACCAGCTTCTCCTCTGAAAGGAGAAGAGCTCTCATTTTACTAGATAACTTTGAGGTTAATTGTGTTACAGACCTAAGAGAGAAGCCAGTTAAGCCTTGGATAATTGTTTTCATGTAGAGAGCTGTTACTTCCAATTACTTCTCATGCTAACGACCACTTAAGTTTGCAGTGCTTGCGATTCTGTTTTGTCACCACAATGTTCAATAAAATATGTTTTTCAGAGTCACCAAAAATCATTAATTTCTTATCCCAGTCAAAATTAAATCCTCTTTAATCTAAAAATTACTATGAAATAGATGTGATTCAATCGATCAGCAATATGTACTGCAGCATCCAAAAAGAATCCTGAAAAGCATGCATTTGGATTCCAGAATAAGCCCTGTGGATGTCCTTTCCCTTTAACTGCAGGAGAAAACTTAGCAACTGTAAGGTTTTGTTTCTGATACGCTTAGACAACACAATATCTCCTTTTTCACTCTCTTAAGAAAAACAGAATTTAGGGATGTTAATACTGGAACACAATTTTTATCTATAATAATTGGCCATTCATACCATTGTAAGCATTTTTAACTTTTTTTACTCAAAAAACAGCCTTCTGAACTGCTTCTACAGGAAAATGCCATCTTTAAAATATTACTTTCCTGTTTTTAATATAACAGGTTTCATAGTTGTCCTAATACGCAAAATAAATTAAGAAGGGTATATCTGCTGATGAGGGTCCAAGAAAGAAATAGTACAGAAAAAACACACATTTTTAAAGCAAAATAGCTTAGGAATTGAAAAGTGCTGCTGCACTAGATTTGGCCCAGATTCTTACACATCCAACCAAGTAAAGACCTGAATACTGGCATTCCCCAAAACAGAAACTATTTAAGCTGCTTTAATTGATCGTCTTGGTTGATTCCATAGCATAATCCTATGATTTCTACATTTCTCCAAGCCATAAATACCAGAAACAAAATGTTATCAAAATTAACACTATTGGCAGCTGTGTGAAAATACCCAAAACCCTGCCTTATCACAAACGCTTGGCAAATACTTTTCAAAATATCAATGCTGACAATACACTCTCCTGAAGTCAGAGATATGTATACAAAGGTGTTATGTTAGATC